GAGAGAGAATTTTTTTAATATTTATTTTTTAGTTCTCGGCGGACACAACATCTTTGTTGGTATGTGGTGCTGAGGATCGAACCCGGGCCGCACGCATACCAGGCGAGCGCGCTACCGCTTGAGCCACATCCCCAGCCCCCCTGCTCTGTTCTTAATACTATTTTAATTTCATGAAGAAAAATGTTTTCTTTTCTTTTTTTCTTAAACTCTGTTGTCGAGGTTCAACTAGAGGAATAAGGTGAATTCTTTGCCCTGAACATACCTGATACCTCAGTTCTTTCAGTGAGCCAGAGGGAACGTGCACAGCTGGAGGGGGTCTTGCCTGAAGGAGGCCCAAGGGCTCTCAGCTCTGAGCGGGGCTCACGCCTCCCCAGGCAGTGGGCTCTCAGCTCTGAGCGGGGCTCACGCCTCCCCAGGCAGTGCCGTGCAGTTCTGGAACAACCTGGCTCTGGGAACGAGGCCCCTTCCCCTTGTTTGCCTGCCTGGCTGGGCCTGACAGCAGGCTGACCTTCATGCGGGGATCTGTGGCCCTGTAGGGGCATAGGTGCTCAGTGTTGTCAGTGGGTCTTACACAAATCATAGTGTGTCCCTGTGACTCAGTGCCCAGAACCAGAACCTTAGAGATTAAAGGGGTCTGGGAAACCCCAATGCCTGACTGATTTCCTCCCTATGGTTTTAGTATTTTCTGTGAAGACTGGCATCAGTCACCTTCCCACCGCTGCAAGGGGATGTAGCCGAGTGGCAGAGCACCTGTCTGCCTGCTCCAAGCTGAATTCCACCCCACACAGGGGTGTTTATATATGTGTGTATGTGCGTTTGTGTATGTGTGTGTGTGTGTGTGTGTGTGTATAAGACCTGCCCATGGCCTAACCTCGTCCCATCAGACCCCCCTCTCTTTTTTTTTTTTAATATTTATTTTTTAGTTTTCAGTGGACACAACATCTTTGTATGTGGTGCTGAGGATCGAACCCGGGCCGCACGCATGCCAGGCGAGCGCGCTACCACTTGAGCCACATCCCCAGCCCAAGACCCCCCTCTCTTAAAGGCTGCCACCTCCTGATAGCACCAAGCTGAGGATCAGCCTTGCACCTAGAGGCCTTTGGGGGATCTTCCATTCCCAACCTGAAGCAAAATTAAATGTCCTGCATAATAGCCATCTAGCTAATAATGGATAAAATAAGCCAGAAAACATTTTCGGTGGCTCTGTCCAGAGTTCCGGGTGTAGCCAGTACAAATTAAGGAAACAGACACATGTGTTCCACCTCCCAATAGATGCCAACCACCTGTCTCTTATGGTAACACTAATTCCTGTTTGGGGGACCGACATATATTGCTTGCTCATATAAGAAAGATCATTTTGCGTTTTCAGAAGTGAAACCTAGTTACGTATAAGTTGGTGTTGGAACTAGGAAGTTCTAGAGCAAGCACATTTTGAATATGAGACACTGGAGCATCTTCTTCTTCCTCTAAAGCTAGGCTGTGGCCCCATGGTTGAGTGTTTGCTGCTTTCCCTGCTTGTGCTGTGTGGCCTGTGTGGTAGAAATGGGCCGTGGCGTGTTGTGAGGATGTGACCCAGGCCCTGATCCTGAGGCTGTAGTCCCAGGTTTGGTTCCAGTGCAGAGGTGCCTGGCCTGGGGGACATGCCCTGCCTTTGTTCCTAGTTATGGTTTCCACCTCTGCCCAACAGGGACTTAGAAGATGGCCAGACCCCTTCCTCACGACTCTTCTGTCCCCCATTGCCGTGATCTTTTCCTTGGTGTATGTGAATGAGGAGGAGCAAACACATACTCAGCTTCAAATCTTTGAAGCAAAGCAGAAGGGACGCTCCAGGGAAGGAAAGGACCCAGCAGGAGGGAGGGAGGGAGGAAAAGAGAGGGAGGAGTGCAGTAGGACCCAAGTATGGTCTGGGCATGGATGAAGTCGTCATAACAAAACCCAGTATGCTGTGCAGTTGACATGCGCTAATAATTAGAACTTTAACAAACAAATATATAATATTTCACAAACTGAACCCTTTGGGACGCTTGGTCCCTCCAGCAGATATTTAGTGCTTGCCTCCTTTCCTATGTGGCCTCAGTATGCAATGGGCAGCCTCTTCCCATGATCACAAAACCTGCAGTGCTGTATGGAAACTATCCACAGCTTCTCTTAGCATTGGTGTTTAAAAAAAAAAAAAAATTGACATAAGTACATGACACCAGGGTGAGACTCCTGTCTTGTCAAGTTGTTGTCATGGATTCATTTATACTATTATAACTGTGTAGCAGTTGTACACAGTTGTTGTATAACCGTGAGATTGTTTACAACAAATCCATTTTTACATCATGTGCTGTTTTTCCAGAAATTAAAAATATTTAATCACAAAGCTTCCTACCCATCTCTGGAAGCAGAAGTGTGGAGACTCCTCAGTGGCAGCCTCCCCTTGGTCTTTCCTTTACTTGACATACTTCTTGCTCCTTCCCTGTTTCTGTATTCGCTCCCAAGACCTGGTCCAACCTTCAACCTGCTCAGTGGCCTCAGCATCTTCTTGTCATCCCACCTAGTATGCACTGGGCTTTTTAAAAAATGCTTGCAGAAAAGATTTGTTGAAGGGCTGGGAAGATGGAAGGGTTCACATCACAAAAACAAAACTCAAAAGTCATGGATTAGAAATCATAGACTTCTAAAAGTAACGCTTGCTTTTCCAAAAAAACTCCAATGTCTTGGTGGAACCGTACTGTGGGTCTGTCTTACCTAAAGCATAGATTCGCTTCTGGAAGATTTCTTGTTCAGTTCTTATTGACCACTTCATATTTTAAATGCTTAACAGGGAATTTCCTTGTTGGAGGAAACTCAGTGACCTTTACCAAGGGAGGACTTAGGCATGAAGACTCAAGGTCTAGTTGGAATTTGAGTCAGACCATTCACTTCCTGCTCTGGTCTCACATTGTGGGGTCTTTTACAGGAAGGTGGCTGGTGGTGGTGGCTTCAGACGGGGTTGGAGGAGACTTTGGAGTGTTTAGGCTTCTCTTGCTCATTGAGTGCCATCTCATCTTTTATTGCATGTTCTACTTTAATTTAATTGGTATATTTACTGTATCACAGGCTTTTGCAAAGGGTACATTCTCTTTCCTACACCTTTTGATGTTTCTGTAGCTGAAACCCAAGGTGACAGTTTTAAGATGCCCATGTTTGAAGGAGAATGTATGTCCAGTGTCACATAACAGGGTTCTTCTTGAATGCAAATAGTATTTTTCCCCTAGAAATTAGATGAGCAGAACTTTCTACTTTCAGTCACTTTATACGTGATCTATAAATGTTAAATATATAATTTCTTCATTTTTTTTAAAGACACTAAATTTTTAAAAATTCCTTTTTGGAAAGTTACAAACTTTTTTCTTAAAATAAAATTCTAAGCAGGGCATAGTGGTGCATGCCTGTATTCCCAGTACTGGGGAGGCTGTGTCAGTAGGGTCTTGAGCCCAGAGCTGGAGGCCAGCCAGGGCAACAGTGAGAACCTGTCATCTAAAAATAAATAACTAACAGATAAATACATTTTGTTATTAAAGTTAAATTGGTTAAAAGTTTATGAAGGGTTTGGATAAATAGATCTTCATACTGAATATAAATTGACAAAATTCTGTTTGGAAGTCAGTTTTGCAAACTATGAAAAGGTGATAATAACGTTGATACAGATCAGTACTCCAGCCCTTGTAGCTAAACCCTTATCAATGACGAAGCTGTTTTTACAGTGCTGGGGTAGCAGCAGCCTGTGTTACTGAACCGCATGCCCTTATCTAGCTTTATGTGCACATCTGTAGAAATGCCTCCGGAAGGTTGAAGAAGATGGTTAAGTGGTTTAAATCTCCTCCTACCCTGGAGCTTTCTGGAATGGTTTTTAAAATTCCTCCATCTGTTATACATTTGTATTGTTCTGAAAGAAAACTTGAACATAAAACTAGGTGAACCTGAACTTAGAGTATTTATAGATAGGACAGTGTTTGGAGTTTCTCTGGGGGTGGGGCAGACAGCTGTGGGACTTGCTTTTGCAGCCTGTTCCTAACCCTACTCTCCTCTTCCTGGCCTGCTCAGAGGAGCCCCAGGGCCTCTTGCTGGTGAGGCTGGCGGGAGTGGCGCTCACGGAGCCCGGGAGGCTGTGGCTGCAGGAGGAGCTGCGGCCTTCCCAGCTGCTGTGGTTCCAGTTGCTTGGGAGGGAGGACGAGACACTCTTCTGCTACCTCTTAGTGAATAAGGTAAGAAGTGTGAGCAGTAACTAGCAATCTTCTGTGCTTATTATCCATATGTAAGTAATTAACTATAACTTTCAATATGAATGGGACTCAGCATTTTGGTTTTTTGAGCTGTTGTGAATAGTGACCACACATCGAGAGCCAGCTGTTTCACATATAAATGTTACCAATGTTTGTTATGTGTCTGTTTTATTTATTTTTTTTTTTATATTTTTTTTTAGAGAGAGAGAGAGAGAAAGAATTTTTAAATATTTATTATTTTAGTTTTTGGTTTACATCTTTGTTTGTATGTATGTGGTGCTGAGGATCGAACCCGGGCCGCACGAGTGCCAGGCGAGCGCGCTACCACTTGAGCCACATCCCCAGTCCTGTTTTATGTTCATTATTGAAAAAATGGAAATTTATTTCTAAAGACACCCTTTGAATCATTAGTGACATTGGCCTTGGTAATTGAGAGTATTTACACCTTCGCAGATGTGCAGTGCCTCAGGTCACCATGCTGAGCGGCTGGTGTCAGCTGGGGGACATGTGGTGCTTCTGCAGGTCAGCACTGCTCAGTCTGCTCCAGTTCCCTGTCTTGTCGAGTGGTGGAAACTCAGAAGCTGCACAAGTGAAAACGCTGTCATCTGGGGCCTTAGTAATTGCAGTTTGGAAACACAGCCTTGGTCAGCTCTGAGTCACCCTTCAAAGAAGGAAGGGAAAATGGGGGCTTATGTTGAGCCGGCAGAGCTGATTTATTACAAGAGAGTAAAAATTCTGTCCTGAGGAAGCTTCTCTTGAGTTGAGAACAGGTGCTGTGTGACAGGAACTGTGCGGCCATGGAGGACGAGATGCGTGTGCTTCGCACAGGGTCTGTGACATGGGTCCAGTGGCCGCTCAAGGGCAGATTGCCTCTGGCGCAGCCTGAGTGTGTTCCGGTGCCCTTGGGTTCCCTGGCTGCAGCTAAGTCCCATGGAGGCCCTACCTCCATGGCCCCCAGACTCCAGGGATTCTTTCGGCCTGGCGTCTCTCATGGTTTTTCACAGTTGGTGGAGATGTCATGTACCCTGTCTTTTGACACTAGAGCCAAGCATTTTAATTTCTGGCCCAAAGCCAGTCCTCTAAAGAGCTCCTCAGAGCTTTCTCACCAGTGTAACGGGTCGAAGCCTTGTGGGAAGTGGGTCGGGTCCTAGAGCCCCTCTCTGCCAAACCCCTGTCCAGGGTCTGTGACATGCTTTTTCTTTTTTTTTTTGGCAGGGGGTGGGGGGCAATTGCAGGATACTGGGGATTGAACTCAGGGTCATTCAACCACTGAGCCACTATTTTGTACTTTAATCAGAGAGAGGGTCTCACTGAGTTGTTTAGGACTTCACTTTTGCCAAGGCCGGCTTTGAATTGGCAAACTCCTGCCTCAGCCTCCCAAGCTGCTGGGATTACAGTCATGTACCACCACGCCCCACACGTGCTTTCTTTTGATGGGCAAAGCTAGCTATTACTCCTTGGTCACTTCAGTGACATTCAGCTGTTAAATTATAATTATGATTGTATAATTTAAAAAGAAAATTATAATTATGAAGACTGTAACTACCACGGAGTCCTTTAAAATAAAAAGGCCCAGTTTCCCCAATACCCTGATAAATTGTTTTTCTGCAGCTAAGTTTCCTTATGCTGAGAATGCAAACTGAGGAACTGGCACCAAGGCCTGGGCAGCACAGCAAGGCAGGACCTGGAACTGTGACCTGCCCTGGGCCAGCTCTGCCTAGCTCAGCACGCAGGCGCACTTCCTGCTTGGTGTCCTGCTGTACCCTCCCCTCTTCTACCTCTGCCCATGTCTCTGGGCCCCCTGAAGATGCAGATCTGATCCGTCTCCCTCCCCTGGCCTCTGCCTCTCCAGCTTCAGTTGAGTTGTGAGCAGCGCGGCTTTGGATTCCAGGAACGGCGATGCAGAAAAAAGTTTATGGCTTAATATTTTTTAAAAAACAGAATACAAAATTGTACCCAAACTGATTTCTGACTGTTTTCAGAGCCTGCCCATGTGGGTGTTCACTGAAGAGAGAGTGTGGGAAAACGAAGTGGGAGAAGTGCAGTGGCGGGGGAAGAGCAGGGTGTCTTAGTTTTAAAGTCCTTTGTGAGGGGCTGGGGATATGGCTCAGTTGGTAGAATGCTTGCCTCTCATGTACAAGGCCCTGAGTTCAATCCCCAACACCACAAAAAAATAAAAACATTACTCTAATTTCACTGGTTAGTTATATCATATAAATATGTATTTAACATATTTAAAAAATAAATAAAGTCCTTTATCATATAACACATAATATGACATTGTAAATGTGACATTGTTAAGGCAAGATTGCAATAAATCTCGGAGTCTGTGTTAAACCAGGAGACGGAAACTTTATTCACCATTTGGCAGTTTGGATCCACCAGCTGGTGTGCCAAGGGGTAGGCTGCAAGTCTACACCCTTCGACCCCCTCTGGGGTTTGAGTACACCTTTTATAGTTCAAAACCATGTTAAAGCATAAGTGGCTGTTGCTATGATTCAAAACTATAAACAAACGTCATGAGATCTAAAATCATAAGCAAAATGTCCCTAATTGTGTACAAGTATAGAATGGTTACTAAACTCTAGACAATCAACCTCTGACAGGGTACATTGTCCAAGAAAAATGGGAATTGAAGAGAGAACACTTCACATTGTAAAAGAATTGCCATTTTGTGTTGCCAAACATGCTATGCTAAGCAACAGTTGATGGGAACAGAGGCACGACTTTCCCTGGGAGAAGCATTTCTTCTGTACGAGGAGTCTCAGAGCAAAATGGAGTCTGTTTGGTCATTGCCCATATAGCCTGGTCCATAACAATATGTCAAACAAGAACAAGGAAATAAAGTCAGAGGAAAAGGATTATGATTTTAAGCCCGGTGTGGTGGTGCTTGCCTATAATCCCAGATACTCAGGCTGAGGCAGGAGGATCAAGACTAGCCTCAGTAATTTGAGGAGACTTGCTTCCAAATTAAAAAATTTTTAAAAGGCTGCTGGGTGCTGTGATGCACACCTATAATCCCAGCAGCTTGGGAGGCTAAGGCAGGAGAATCACAAGTTCAAAGCCAACCTCAGCAAAAGTGAGGTGCTAAGCAACTCAGTGAGACCCTCTCTAAATAAAGTACAAGAAAAAAGACTGGGGGTGTTGCTCAGTGGTCAAGTGCCCCTGAGTTCAATCCTGGTAACCTCCCAAAAAAGTATAAACAAAAATAAAAAAGGCTGAGGATGTAGCTCAGTGGTAAGCACCCTTGGGTTCTATCCCCAGTAGGACTAAATAAATGAATGGATGAAAATATTACTTTATTTCTTTATATGGTCTTATAAAATGTTTCCTGGTTTAAAATCTGGAGTTTTCACATTTTTAGAACTTAATTGTGGGAGCTGGGATTGTGGTTCAGCAGTAGAGCGCTTGCTTAGCACAGATGGGGCGGGACCCAGGTTCCATCCTCAGCACCACATTAAAAAAAAAAAAAATAAAGGCATTGTGCTATGTCCATCTACACCTAAAATATAAATATTTTTTTAAAAGAGAACTTAATTGTGAATTACTTGTCTAATGGTAAGATTTTTTTATTAGATTAAAATCCCACAAGGACTATAAAAATTGCTAAACAGGATCTCTTTCATATGATGAATTACTGGGGAGGAAATCCATTTATCCATTTTCTTTAGGAAAACATCCCCAACTCTTTCTTATTTTTTATTTTGAGACAGGTTCTCACATTAAGTTGCTGAGGCTGGCTTTGAACTTGTGATCCTCCTGCCTCAGCCTCCTAAGCAGCTGGGATTACAGGCATGCACCACGGAGCCTGGACTATTTTTTAATTTCTTTAGTTTCTTCTGCTTGCTTTCATCGAGACTCCTGCTTCCTGCCCCACCGTCCCATAAACAGCACCACTAAGCCAAGAAAGTATGTTCTATGCCTGGCTGCTGCTACACCTCTTTGGGTTAGAGACCAAGGAGTTGTGCACTCCATCTTATATAGGGAGTACGTTGACTTTGAGCAAGGTTTTCTTCTGTGTAATTCTCAAATTTAGCAGTAGCTATTTTAAGTTCTTGACCCTTTTGTTAGACAGTTTGGCTTTTTTTCTTCCTAGAGGACTAAAATTGATGAATGACTGATTTTAAGGTAAATCTGATATTATGGGATAATAATAATTTTCTTAAATAATTGTAATTTTTTTTTAATTCAAGGGTAGATATTTTAGTGTGAATCTGAATGAAGAGATTTTGAGAAGAGGCCTGGGCAAAACTGTTCTTGTGAAAGGGCTAAATCATGACACTAACACCTATTGGAAAATTCACAGAAACTTACTTAAAGCCGAATTAACAGCCTTAAGAAAAGGAGTAGGAATATGGAAGGAAGAATCTGAAAAAGAAAGTTACTTGGAAAAATTCAAAGACTCCTGGAGAAAAATATGGAAAAAAGACAGATACTTGGAAACAACTGGAGCAGATTTCAACCTGAAAAAAGACAGTTATTATGACAAATTCAGAAGGATTTATGAAATGTGGAAGGACAGCATGAGCAACCACTCCTTAGTGCTGAAAATCAGAGAACTTCTCAGTTGCTTACACTTTCGTAGAAAAGGGTGAAACAAATACACAGGAGATCCAGAGGCAACCTGTGAAGAGTAAGATGTAAATATGTGCCCCTCTTTGAGTTGAATGAAAATTTCCCCAGATGATCAAAGTTGTGTCTGTTGGCATTTAAACATTAAAACAATTGCTGTTGTAAGTATAATATCAAACTTGATTTAAATAAGTTTTGATTAATATGCTGTAGGAAAAACAAAACAGTAAAAGGTTACCAACGTGAAGGATGTACATAATGCTTGAAAAGAAAGAAAAGGTTAACTACGGGCTGTTGGGTTGTTTTAGGCAGCCATACTTAATTTTTGTTGAAAGGATATTTGCTTCCTTTTTCAGTTTTATCAACTTTCATTATATAATAAAGGAATTCTTCCCACCTGTGTCCAAGGCTGCTCTCCTCCCAGCTGCTTTCTATCTGTGAATCTGGGGCAGTGCCAGGACAGGTCACAGAGACCACCCTGGTAATAAAGAAGGGCTAATTTATCCCTGTTGTTTGAAGCGGGAGGGGACATCCTGGAGGGGACATCCGGAGGAGGATAACAAGAAACCAGGTGCTGAATGCAAAGAACCAGATGCCTGTGGACACTTCGGGTTCCTGAAGCTGGGGTACTTAACTGCCCTTTTTCCCCCCAAGTTGCCACCCACCACTTTTTTCTTTATCTTAGTCAGTTGTATCTGGGCCTCACTTTGACCCATCCTTTTTTTTTTTTTAAATAACCGAACCACCACACAAGCCTTGTAGATTCAAACAGCAACTCTTTTTTTTAAAAAAAAATATTTAATATTTATTTTTTAGTTATTGGCGGACACAACATATTTGTTTTGTATATGGTGCTGAGGATCGAACCCGGGCCGCACGCATGCCAGGCAAGCGCGCTACCACTTGAGCCACATCCCCAGCCCCTTGACCCATCCTTAATTCCTTTATGCAAGGATATCAAGGACTCTCACAGCCTCAGTTAGGGTTCACTTCCCTCCTGAGGACCTCTTTGGGATGCCTGTCCCAGGGACAGTGACATGGACACCTTCTTGAAGGCATGTGATCTCTGGGTGGCCAGACCCAGCTGGCTGGCAGCCATTGCCAGGGCCCAGGACTTCGCCTTTTGGCTTCAATTCTGAACTGTAGCCTGGCTTGTCTGAAGGACCGAGGGCAAGATAAACAGGTGACTGCAGAGAAGGTGGCTCTCTTGTTACAGGACATGGTCATAATGTAGCCATTTGAAAAAGTGAAAAAGTCCCTTTGAGGCCAAATTTTTTACCAAAGCTTAGGTTCTTTGCCTTTCTCAAAGAGAGGATTTACTACTCCTTAGGCCTTTTGGGATTCAAAACATATAACCCCAAATATATCACATTGGTGTACTCGGTATTTTAAGCCAAAGGAATTGAGGGAACTGCAGAAACAAGAAGGTCACTCTGGGACCATCTCCCACCTTTCTTCCCCGAAACGGACCATAAAAGAGTTCTCTAAGCTGCGTTCCCTGAGGTAGGGATGGTCCTGCCCTGGAACCGCAGGCCCAGAAGAGTTTGCACTAACAGTCCTTGCTTAGCCGCATTGATTACCACAGGTCATACCCCTCTGCCCTGCAGATGCACATCCTCGTGACTGTCCACACAATGTGCCCTTCTCCTGGGCCCCATGAGCTTCTGTATCCGCAGGCTCCTGTGGGACATGTTCATTAAATCTGTCCTTCTGTTCATCTCTCTTGTCCTGGCAGGTGTCAGCCATGGACCCTGTAAAGGGCGAGGAGAAGATCAGTTTTCGCCTCTGTGATTTTCTGTCTGAGACAACAGGCCCATGGCCGCTGTTTTTTCTCTTGGCCTTCTTTTTATAGATCTTAGTACCCACATCACCTTCTTCCTTTTGTTTTTTTCTTTTGTGGGATGGGGTCTTGCTATGTTGCCTGGGGTGGTCTGGAACTCCAGGGCTGGAGTGACCCTCCTGCCTCAGCCTGCTGAGTAGCTGGTACCATAGGCACATGCCACTTGCCTTACTTAAATGTAGTTTTATCAAATTAATTTAGTGCTTTCTTATTTCTAAAGGATTGAATTTTTTTTTGACCCTTCATGATCTATTTTATTTTTGATTTATGTTTCCTTTGGGAAGGGTATTTTCCAATTACCTACCTTCCCTTCCCTTCCCTCCCTCCCTCCCTCCCTCCCTTCCTTCCTTCCTTCCTTCCTTCCTTCCTTCCTTCCTTCCTTCTCAGGGATTAACCTGGTGCTTAATCACTTCACATTCCCAACCCTTTTTCATATTTTATTTAGAGACAGAGTCTCACTAAGTTGCCTAGGGTCTCTCTAAGTTGGCTTTGAACTTGCCATCCTGCTGTCTCAGCCTGATGCTCTGGGATTGCAGGCGTGCACCACTGTGCCTGGCTTGATCATAGTTAGTGGAGGGGAAACTTGGGAGAAGAGTGAGGACCCAGCTCACACATCCTCAGCACTTCCTCTGTTGGGCTGCACACAGCACATTCCAAGATGCCACAGTGGGGCCCGCTATTATGTGTCATTATAATGCAAATCAATTAAAAATTAATTTAAAAAAACTGAAGTAAATAGAAACAAATTCCAGCAATACCCAGAGGGGGAAGCCGAGAAGCCAACTCTGCTTATTGAAGTTCCTGTTGGGGGACTGGGGATGTGGCTCAAGTGGTAGCGTGTTCGCCTAGCATGCATGAGGCACTGGGTTTGATTCTCAGCACCACATACAAATAAAGTAAAGATTGTGTCCACCTAAAGCTTAAAAATAAATTTATTGGCTCCCTGCCTGAGGCAGGCATCCCCAGTTGGCTCCTCTTAGTTCTAGCTCCGGGGTCCTCCTGGGGCTTCCTGCCAGCAGCGGGAGAGTCTCACCTCTTTCTTTCTCTCCACAACTGCTCAACTCCCACACCAGTCTAGTCTGCAGCCCCTAAATGCTGGCTCCCTACATTCAGCAAGGGAGGGACCCTGGAGCGTGCTGTGGAAGGTGGTTGGATGGATCATTGCATCTATGAAAGGGGAAGGGTCACGGGACCAGTTCTACCTAAGTCTTGCTGGTTTCCTCAGTATTAGTTGAACTAGAGGTGAAAGACCTAAGCAACCTCATTTTACTTGGGACCTCATTTTGATCTGAAACTTAACCTCTGACCTACTACAGTCCTAAAGTCAGGAAAATACCACAGAAAAGCTCTGTGGAAACAGTTCTCAGAAAAGCCACAGATGGTGATCGCCTAAGATAGGCCAAGAAATGGAAATATCTGAAATTCCAGATGGCCCCCACCTAGGTGTGGTGACCAATATCTAAACTAGAAGCCCTGCAGCTTGGCATGTACCCCCCTTGGGACATCCTCATGGTTTAAACCAATCAATTTTAAGGACGTCAACCCCTTGAACTAACCTATAATCCTTTCCAGATTCTTTCCCACCACTTGATATGCTAATCATGTTTTAGAGTTGTTTGATTTTCCCGCGGTGGTGTGTGATGATTTGCTAAGAGATGCTATGATGTATGTGGGGGTCCCTGCCTTCCCCAAAGAATGTATAAAACTGCTGCAAACCCTGGGCTCGAGGCCTCTCAGCAACACCAGTTGCTGTGTGTGCTCAGAGGACCCAGCTAGCTCGTGATAAACACCTGTTTGCTGCTTACATCAATCTTGGTCTCTGGTGGTCTTTTGAGGAAACTTGTGTTGTTAAGCTAAGTGATGGAATGAGGGCTCCTCTCTTGCTTCTCTCTCTCTCTCTTCATATATATATATATAGTTAGTCACAATACTTTTGATTTTATTTATTTGCTTCACTCCTTTTAAAAGGCCTTTTTTTTCCTGGTCTCAGGAAAACAAAGTGCTGGCAGGTCTGGTGGCTTAGCAAGTTTCAGAAAAGAGACAATCACTATTTGTTATGTTGGTGAGATATTAGGTCCTCTAAGTCTGTAAAAAGAGGAGTGTTTTGGATGTGAGGTGTCCCCAGCTAATGCAGGAATGTTGGGAGGTGACATGGTTGGATTGTGAGAGCTGGAACCCAGTCAGTCCATCACAGTTTGAACAGGCCGTGTGGGTGGTAACCGAAGGCAGGAGGGGTGTGGAGGGAGGATGGGTCACTGGGGGCTCCCTGGAAGGGTCACCCTTCTCTGTGTCACTTTCCTTTGCCCTCACCCTCCTTAGCTTCCCTGAGGGGAGCGGCTTTCCTCTGCCACATCCTTCTGCCATGATGTTGTGCCTTACCTAGGGCCCAGAGCAATGGAGTTGGCCATTTATGAACAGTCTGTGCAACTGTGATTCAAAGGTAAACTTTTCTTAGTTAGGAAAGCTGACCAAAACAGTGAGCACAGCCTAATGTCCAGCCTTCCTCCTCCACCATGCGGATGGGGGAGGACGGGTGGCCGTTGCTGCTCCGCAGACTGTAACCTCCCCTCTTCTCACTCCCAGATCTCTTCTTACATCAGGTGCTTATGAAACCTAAATCAGCTCACTGGGGGGGAGTGGGAAGTCTGCTGCCTGAAGTAGCTTTCTTACACCTCGGCTGGAAGGAACGTCTGGGCCTGGATCCCAGCAATGCTGCATCCCTGATACTCCCGCTCTCTTTGGTGACTCCCTGAGTCTGGTAGCTCTACCCCACTGCTACACACCTGCAAAAACTGCTTTCGGAGAATTCACTGCATTTGAGGCTAGCAGATAATGTGCCAAGAGTTTTCTTCTAACATTTCCCAGCACCGTGTGATCCCACAGCAAGTGGGGTTGCACCTCTGCCATATGATTCCCTCCCTGGGAGCAACTAACACTTGTGCTGTCCCAGGGCCTGTTGACAAGTCCACTGGCTTATTATAAATACAGTATAAGAAAAGGCAACATCTCAGAAATTCAGAGCACCAGCAGAATCCTCATCATTTAACCTCCAATAAAGGGGTGGTGGGTGCCCTGGGTGAGTTTCTCCTGCTGCTGGCTTGCTGGGGCAGGTAGATCCCAGCTCCCAGGCTTGGAGCTTCTCTCCTGCCACCACCAAGGCAGCTGTTTCAGTGAGGGCAAATCACAGGGGGAAAGTGATGCAAATTGGTGAAACGGCTGAAGAAAATGAAAGACTCAAGAACATAAATATAATCAAGAACAGAAGTTTGAAAGTGGAATAATGAAAAAGACTTTTTGTTTTTTCCTTTTTTGAGCAACAGTGATTGAACCCAGCGCCTCGCACATGCTAGGTAAGAAATCTATCATTCAGCCACATACCCAATCCTTTTTAAAATTTGTATTTTGAAGCAGGGCCTTGCCAAGTTGCCCAGATGGTCCTTGAGCTTGTGATCCTCCTTCCTCAACCTTTTGAGTAGCTGGAATTATAGGCATGCACCACCAAGCCCGGTTATAAAGAATCTAAAATTAATAGGTGTGGTGGTACACAC